GTAAACCAAACCCTAGATCGATATGATCGCATGCTAGGAACCCGTAGAGAAACCCAACAGTATCGCCCGACGTTGATCCGTACACGTCGGACTATCATCGTGACGATCTCGTCTGTGACGACTGATGTCTTCAGCGGCTCGCCTCCCATCTAGATAATGTGTCGGACGACCTGCGAGGCTAAGTCCACCTCGCTCACACCGGCATCATCTCCATCGAAAAGATCAGCCAGAGCCAGCCGCAGGTACCCGATCTCTGGTGGTTCACTGTACCTTGCGCATCACGGCCTAGCAGACAGCTCCTGATGAACATGTATAGGACCCATACGGCGGGGTGTTTGATCGTCGAGCCCTTGTCCCTTCCCGTCCACGGGGATCCAGTGAGGGCTAACCACGTCTCGTTTAGCACGGCCAGTGGCAGTTTCGGCTTCTTGTTGGAGATGCCTTCGGGTACTCCTAAGATGTCGTCCAACTACCGCATATTGATTCAGTAGTCCCGTCCTCGCAGACAGAATCCCAGATATGCTCCTTCCACTTTCCCTGAGGAGGGAAAGTACCTATGACACGAGGAGAGAAACTCAAATATGAGCCTATTGTACATCTTCTCCTGCCTGTCGAATAACCGCGCCCAGCCCAAGCGCTGGAATAATACCTGAACTTGGTCGTGGATACCAAGCTCTACCAGCATAGGGCGATCTAGGATTCGAGCGGGTTTGATCCCTCGCAACTTGATGTGGTTGAGTCACGCATCCTGGTCCGCATCTCGTTCGAATCTCTCCGATCGGTTCGTCGGCATCCTCCGTAGAAATGGGCATAAGTGGCGCGATAGTGAAGACACAGCCGGCTGGCGGGTTTGACGCTCTTTTCTCCATAAGTTTTTTTGTCTTTTATCGATAATCTGGGTATTTCGGGGTCGGTTAGGTGTTTGGGAGTGAAATCTCGAGGCTAAGAGGAGAATGTGGATGTTTGTTGTGAACTATGGAGAAAGGGCGAGATTTTGTATATATAGGAAAAAATATCGATGTTAAAAACATCGATATCGATGTTTCATAATGTCGAGATCTGACAGATCTGCATGTTCCAGATCTCGACTTCTCTAATCGTCGATATCGATGTTCGTAAACGTCGATATCGATCGACTATGACTCTTCGGATTTCACTCCATCTCGATGTCTAGGTTGCGCAACATCGATATCGATGTTTAGGAACCTCGAGATTTCTAAAAATCCCCAATTTCAAATACGGAATAGATCTCAACATTTCAGAACATCGATATCGACGTTTCTGAACATCGAGATTTCTGAAAATATCCAATTTTAGATCCGACACAAATCTAGAGGTTTTGGAACCTCGATATCGAGGTTTCTGAACATCGAGGTTTCTAAAAATACCCCAAAAATCCGATTTTTCGCGTTTTTCTCTTTCCCGATTAATTGGGTCCTCTTTCTAGCAACATATGCTCATGATGCATGAAATTAAGCGTGCTAATGCAATGCAATTACACGGGTTGCCTCCTGTGAAGCGCTAATTTAAGGTCATCAGTTTGACCCTCTCATTTTTAGTGATCTGGTAGTCGCGTTGGACGAAATTGGTTAACTTCCCGCCATCCCGGACGTATGTACACTGCGCTAGTGCACACAGTTGGCTTCGACTTACAGTCATTTCCGCTCGCAGATTCAGGGATTGGATCTGGCGATTTCACCTTAGTTCCTAATCCAGCTTCATGTATCTTTAGTATTAGGCCCTGCTTCTGCGGGACCTTCCCATTGGGTTTCTCCTTAGACGTCATCACTAGAAATTCGGGTTTTGTTTTTATTCCGCTCTCTGCCTCAGAGCTTATAGATTTAGCCACTGTCAGGATGTAGCAATTCCTTTGCCCTTATCCTTCATTTGTGGAATCTGTTTTTCCAGTGAACCAGGCACCGGAATAGCCAAAGAATGCACATCTTCTTCTTTACCCCGTTCTGGTTTTGGTTCCAGCTTGAATTCAATATCCTCATCTCCTATATGCAACTCTATGCATCTTTTCCGGACATGAATTACGGCGTCGAAAGTGTTGAGGAACAGACGTCCTAAGATGACTGATTCATCATTTATGTTTTCCATATCGATAACCACAAAATCGATCGGTACGTAAACGTTTCCAACTTAAGCGGTACGTCCTCTAAAGTCCTTTACTGACTTGTCTGCCACTTGCAGAATTATCTTAGTGGGCTTCAGTTCACCCACGTTCAGCTTATCATAAGTGGTCTTTGGTAATAGACTCACACTCGTTCCTAAGTCGCATAGTGCACTAGGAATAAAGACGATGCCCAATAGACAGGGGATAGAGAAACTTCCTGGATCTACCATCTTGGCTGGTAGGCTTTGTTGCAGTACAACACCGCATTCTGTTGTCAGGATTACTGGTTCCTCTTCTAATTTCTCCTTCTTAATCAGTGTGTCTTTAAGAAATTTCTCATAAGATGGTGTACGCGCTATAGCCTCTTGTAAAGGCTGGGCGATTTCCATCTTTTCCCACATATCGGCGAACTTTGTGAGCTTGTCGTCTACTGGCGGAGTACGCTGTAGTCACTGCGGGGATGGTATAGGAGGTGGTAGCGGAGGCGGTGGAACGTATACGTCCTCCGGTCCTCTACGATCAGATTCCTTTGCTTCTCTAGTTAGACTCTCCTTTGTTTCGCAACGATTCTCCTTGTTCTGTAAGTTTTGTTCTCATTCACATAGACAACATTACGTTGCTCACGAGGGTTTGGCTCAGGTTTACCAGGTAATATGCCCTGCATTCTGCTAGGCTTAGCTGCAAGTTGCGCTACCTGGTTATCTAGAAGCTTGACATGAGACTATCCCTAGGATTTGCTTCTTTCAATCACTTTGTTCGGTGACCATTTCTTGCATCGTGTTGCTCATAGACGCTTTCCCTTGCAGGAGCATCTCCAGCATCGACTTGATATCGGGGGTCTGATCCAACTTTTGTTGAGGTTGTTGTTGTTGCTGACCTCTAAACAGCTGGTTCCCTTGATACCATTGGTATCCTTGAAACGGTTGTTGAGGTCTCTGTTGGAAAGTTTGACCTTGGAATGGTCTCGAGTTTTGGAACGTTCTGTTCCTGTTCTCTTGAGGAGCATTTTGGTAATTGTTGCTCTTGTAAGAGAAATTAGGGTGGTTCCTCCAACCAGGGTTGTAGGTGTTGGAATAAGGATTGTTGGCAACATAGTTAACATCCTCAACCCCTTGTTCTTGTGAGAACATAGACTGGTCCCCACTCATCAGATCCGATGTTTTGCTTAAGGCGCTGCGGTTCGTTGAATAGACTTGCATCATCAATTCAACTAATTCGGCCTTAAGAGCCTGTACTTCATTAACGTTCTCTACATTATCCCTTTTTCGTGAGAACTCAGTTGGGGTGGTTCTATCGCTAGCCATACGTTCGATTAGTTCTTCGAGCTCATCGAATGTTAGCTTTTGAAGGCTACCTCCGCTGGCGCAACAATGTAGAACCTTATCTCATCCCTCAATCCATTCAGAAAAGTTGACATAAGGTAGTATCTGTCGAAGTTATGATGAGGGCATGCTCTTTGGTATTCCTTGAATCATTCTCATGCTTCACCCAAGGATTCTCCATGTTCTTCCGAGAAGGAATTAATCTTGTTATTCGCAGGCTGGGTCTTATGAGCAGGGAAAAATCTGTTCATAAATTTGTCAGCAAGTTGATCCCAAGTATGGATCTAGTATGCAGGCAGAGCATAGAGCCATTCGAGTGCTTTTCCCGATAAGGAGAAAAGGAAAGCAAGAAGTAGCACTTCCTCAGTTGAAACTTCGTTCGCTACTCTGACGGACTGACAGATCGATTTAAACTGAGTCAGATGCAAGTTAGGGTCTTTGGTAGAGTTACCTCTAAAAGCACTCCCGTATAACATCTGGATAAATGTGGGTTGTAGATCGAGGCGGGTTCATCCGTTTCCTGGTCTACCAATGCAAGAAAGTAATGGAGTATGCTTTGGAGCAGTGTAGTCTCTAAAATAAGCGCTTCGTTTCGCTCGACTGCTCTGGTTGAGCAGCGTTATGTGCAGGATGGTCGTCAACATTTCTGTTGTCTTCCATTGCTTCCAATCTCCTTCGTTGCCCCAGGAGTTGAAGAGTTCTTTTGATTTCTGGATCAGGAGAAAGCAGAGTTTGACTTCCACGACTTCTGATCATAAACTGAAGGAATTAACGTTTCGATTCCCGAAAAAAGGGAATCTGATGGTGGTGGAAAGTAAGTTGATGGTGGTGGAAAACTAGAATCTAACCGGCACCAAGATTGAATCTCAGTCCCCGACAACGACGCCAAAAACTTGATCACGCAAATGTAGGTGATTGGATTCGAATCAAGTAATAAAATCTAGACTAAGCCGATTCCACAAGGGTACGGATTCGATGTAGTACCAGGGTCGAACATAGGGACCAAGACATGATGGTGTCGATGGTGATCCTAACGAAGGCTGATAGCAAGGTAGTTGATTGGTTAGGAGAAAACTATAATTAAAGGTATTGTAGGTTCGGGGGTTCACCGATACTACAGAATATCTAAATAGATGTGGTTTGGTTGCAGTCTAGGGTCGATTCAGGAAATTCTAGCCTCTATCCTAGAACGCGTCTGGTCAGGGATCTTCATTCTCTAACTAACGCTTTCCTATCAGCTTCCACATCTTTAGGTCTACGTTAAAAGACTTAACGTCCGCTATCATAGTTCCTAGGTCGAATTAAGAATTCCTTATCAAGTCTAACCTATGCATTCAGAATTAATAATTGAACTTATCTTATGAACGAATTTCCGTATTAATTAATCCAAATTCCTTTGCAATTAACTAATCCAAGTTCAATTCTAGAACCGAAAAGTATCAAAAAGTATCGAAAAATGTGAAAAGTGTCCATGTTGGTTTAGTGCTCTATGATGTACTGATTATGAGCTTTGTTCAGATACATTCGATGTATTGATACTTTCTATATGTTTTTTTATGAGAGTATCTTGTTCATTACATGTTCCTGCATGCTAGATCTGTTATGAAATCCATGTATCATTATGAATGATACTAAACTCCCTAGTCTTGTGTCATTATGGGAATAACGACATAATAAGACTAGTAAGATGTGTGATTGATGATCACATAGATGATCATAGGTATTGGATACGATCACAATCATAGGTATTCGTTGCAGAACGGAATACTGGACTGACCCGCATGAGATTGTCACATGGACTAGCGTCATGACTTGAATCTCATACGACGTTTCCATGATTGGATCCTAAGACCTGAGATATCTACAGAATCCAACATGAGGAGTTGCGTGC